ACATTCCAATATGGTACCATTGAAAGACTCGCACTGATTATTCAACACCATGTCACAATTCAAATGAGTGCTGAAGTGTGATTTTGACCCATGCCTTGGAGGTTTATCTAGAGTGGTGAGCCATTCATATGCATCATTGGACAGTTTTTAAGTTCTTCCATGGCCCTTGTAAAGTGGGGGACAGTGGTTGCATATGATGCTTCACAAAACTTGTCTCTCAAACTTTTTGCTTTGAATAATATCCTATAGTTGCTAAAAAGATGTCTTGCACAGAACCTATGGTCACAATTAGGGGCCACTTACTCAAAAGCAAGCAATAAACTTTTTTGTTTGTCGGATATAAAGGTGAAGCCAAATTGATTAACAATCTCACAATCCTTAACCAATAGCTCCAGAAACCAAATCCAAGAATCCTTGCACTCTGATTCCACAACTGCGTATGCAATCACCCAGGTTTCATTGTTGGCGTCTATACCCACTACAGTTAACAGTTGCCATGCATAAACACTCTTCAAAAAACACCCATCTAAACCTATAATGGGCCTGCATCCAGCTTTGAACCCTTCCTTAGCATCTCCTAAACAAACATACACCTTTGAAACTGTGGTTTCCCCAACTTTTCTTTGAAATCACACTTAATGATAGGATTTTAGCCATACTCGCAATAGAACAAGGCTGTTATTAGTATAGCAAAGGTAAATACGAGGTCATTCCCACGAAGACTAAAGTCAATTGAAAAGATGTACTAAATACTTACTTGTAAATCAATGAATTATTATTTTTGGATTCAATGCGAATAAAATAAAACACAAATTGGGAAGAAAGTTTTGAAAGATTATTAATTGGCTGAGAAAATCAGGAAGATAAGACACTAGGGCTAGGTGTCCACCACAAGCAATCCAATATAGCACTTACGTTCATTAATCCATTAAGAGGTAATTCCAGGATAAAGATTGGTTACCTTATGTTTATTCTCCCTATGGCATTTAGGCTAGAATAATTCCTACAACATGCAATCTCCCTATGGCATTTAGGCTAGATATAAACATGAAGAGTACGATGAGCACGAGTAACCAAATCAATCATGTAATTCTTATGGCATGGCATTTACCCTAAGTAATCACACCTTTTAATTGCAAGAAGCATACTCAAAATCAGTGTGGCATTCACTCAATTTTGCATCATATAACTTAGTCATATACCATAATGGTGATCAAGCATCAAAGCACATAACCAGTATAACACTCGGCAATTAAATGTTCAAACACAAAATCACATTAATGGATAAATAAACATACAGTACTATATCATCATGCTAGGGCTTAACCCCGCCCTAGATTAAGGTTTAGTTACACATGAACATAATTAAAAACACAGAAAAATAATATCATAAGAGTGAAAGAAGAAACCCTGAAATACAACGTCGCACGCAAACTCCTAGAGCCGTATTCTCCTCTTGATGAATGGGTCGTCAAAAAGTCCCCCCTCAGGAGTTGTTTCTCATCTTAAATAAGACACCCCACATCTATTCTTACCCTAGCTGGGCTTTTACAGCAGCCCAACAATAAAGAAAAACCTAATTAAAACATAAATCCAAAATGGGTAAGTACTTGACTCCTCTTCCTACTTGGACTGGGATAACATGTCAGTTACTTTGTTTGCACGTTTGGGGTTGTTCCTTCTCCAAGAAAAATCGGGAAAAATATGTAAATTGTAGATTTTTGTCTTATCTTTCCATTCATATATTGCACGCCTTGAGGAAAAATCAGGAAAGTCTTCAAATGGTCATTCTTCCACAGCAGCACAGTTTTGACAAGATTGCATCTTATGCTGACTTAACTTCAAAGACTGCTCTCATTGGCTGCTCCAAAAATTCTAGAAAAATTCCACAATCATCTTCAAGATCTTAGCTTTCATCTCCAATTGGTCTCGTACTAAAACTCCACCAAAAAGTTGTATTTCCGTTGAAAACAAATTACTTGCTCTGGAAAGCTGAAAATTGAGAAAATAAAGTAATAAGTCCTTTTTAAACCAAATTCTCTTACAAAAACTAAGTATAAAGAGTACATAAATGTGTAAATTTATGAACTTATCACTTAACCATTGCTGTGGTTCCTGGATTAGTGTTCCTTAATTCCTGACAATAATCCCATATTCTTGAATATTGTTCATTAAAAATGCCCTCAATCAACTTTAGTGCCTTCTCTTTTGCCCTATACACTTGTTGTTTTGACACCCCTGTATTATAATCCTTCTCAACAGTCTCCTTGAATGAGCTGACTGGCCACTGAGGATTGGTCTTTAATGTCTCAACATATTTCTTGCTTATCCAAGTTGACTTGACATTAGGGTTCTCCCATAACTGTGTACATGTGTGCTCACATACATATGTCTTCACTTGCAATGTGTTCTCATGTTGCATTTTTGAAGCATATATCATCCACTCACAATCTGGGTCCCTACAAACTGCCTTCAGCTTCAAAGCCTCACTCCTAATAAATACAACATCCCTTTTCTGCAAGATGGCGTGTTCTCTGACAGCTGTCCTAAAGACTTTACAATCAGTAAACAACATGCCAATCTCAAACTTTGGATCTGCCATGTCAGTTGCAGCATTGAACTCTGGCCAATTCTTATCACCTTCATGGTCAGAATTACAGTTGGCATAATCCTTACACTCAGAATCTTCAGAATCCAATTCAACATCTGTAGGTCAATCAGGAGCAGCCTCATTCCCAGTTTCTTTCACCCTGTCCATTCAGTTTGGTCATCCACCCATTTTTCAAAAGAAGCATCATCTTCATCTTCATCTCCATCTTCACTACAGTTCTTGGAAATCACATAATCATAGTCCTCACTATCAACAAAATCATCATCAAAATCTTCAAAGTCTGCAGCATTTGCATATCTTCTTCCACTTCTCAACTTCATGGAATGGCTTTTGGACTCGGTCCTAATGCCCTCAACAGTTCCTTCCACAGCTTCTTTGTGTTTCTGTTGAACATTATTTTTCCTCCTCAATCCCTTGCATCTTTTTTTACCAAAAGCAGACTTGACCCTATGTGACATGTCATCCGTCACTTTATGTTTGCCTTTGCCTTTGTTAGAAGAACCCTCATTATTGACAGTAGCCTTTTCTTTGCCTTTTGTAGAAGCTTCATCAGTCAACCCTTCTTGATTCAACTCTTTGCCTTCTCCACCTACTTGTTCATTAAACCCTTCTTGATTCAACTCTTTGCCTTGTCCACTTGCTTGTTCATTAAACCCTTCTTGATTCAACTCTTTGCCTTGTCCACTTCCTTGTCCATTAAACCCTTCTTGATTCAACTCTTCTATTACAACACTTGTTTTTTTCACCTTTCCCACCTGGGATACTCCGCCACCCATTGGAACAATGGCACCATAATTGTCATCAAGTTCTTCAATCACTACCCCAGTGTTGGTCTCAAAATCATCATCTAAATTTATAAATATGTTTGAAGCCACTTGACTGTAAAATTGCTCTTGACTGCATGCCAACACATGTTCTAGGAATATATTTATCAACCTAGTGTCTGGCACAAATGTTAGCATGTCTAAAACATCTGCATCCTCACTCAGCTTAACTAGACCACCATCAAAATGACCACCTGGAATATTGTACCAGTAGTTAATGATACCTTCGTACCCTAACTCCTTTACCCATTCACATAATAGTTACCTCTTAGTTCACCATTGTGATACAATTCAATAGAAAATCCATCCTCATCCCCTACATGTCAAAAGGCACACATAAATTTTAGTCCCTAACAAAAATACATTCAAGGCTGTTTACACATACAAAAAGACACAAATAATTTTCCAAATATAAAAGACAAATCATTTTACCACACAAAAAGACACAAAAGCCAAACTTTTCATGCCAGTACACACATACACAAAAGGAAAGCATTACTGTCATTGTAGGACCACATATAAAAGCCAATTAAATTGACACAGTAATAGTAAGACACACCTAACTCGAAACTCACAATCAACATCCATTATAAAAAACCCTTGTTTCCAATAGGCAAGTTTCATTCGAAAAACACCATTTGCCAAGAATCTTAGCATAGTAACCCATACGTACCGTAGAAAGGTTGTCCATATCCTGTGGGACGAAGTGCCCAACTCATATTCTTTAGTTCTTTCCCAAACCTCCGTTTGTAGTTTGATTTTTGCACTGGATGAAGATTCTTTCAAGATTTCGAAGAAACCCTCTCTCAGTCTCAGTCTCTCTCGAAAACTTAGAAACAACAAATTTTTTCCTTTCTTTTGTTTGATTTCATTGTCCAAGCCTTGGATATTGGAACGAGATCCTTGGAAGGCGAGCCCAACGCAGACATTTAACTTCCATTTTAAAAATAAATTAAAAAAATTCCCGAAAATGCCCTTCGTCTGGACTATTTCGACTGGCTAGTTAGATTATGTGGTGGGACCCACGACTGCCACGTCATCATTTAGCGTCTGACCTGACGGTCAATGTAATGGCCGGTGTAAATTGGTAAGTTTTTGAAATGTCAGGTACGAAATTGATGAAATTGAAACCTAGGGGCCCATTTCGATAATGACCCTAAACCTCCAGGGACTAAAATGACGTTAGTCCTTAATTATATATGCATTTGACACATGGCGTTGTCTCATTGGCTTAAGTAAGAACTTTGGGTGAGTCTGCTCGCACTATATCAGAACCTCTCTCAATTATTTATTTATTATTTTTTCAATAACCCTCTCAGACTCTCATTCCGTATCTCTCTCTCACCCACTCACGAAACCCTACACTATTTCTCTCCCGATATGAGACTAACCCTCACCTCATCGGTCGCCGTCTCTATCGCGCGCGCTCTCTGTCGCGAGACTCATTCTCTCTCTCCAAACTTAACCTCGCAATCCTTAATCTCTACTATAATCGATTGACAGCTTCCTCTCGTTCTCACTCGCTTCCATCCTTACCAAATCGAAGACGGCGGCGGCTACAGTTCTCGATTTACACCCGTTTCTTGTCTCACTCACCCCCTATATCTCTCTGTCTGTTTCTCTCTCGATCTCACCTTCTCTGTCGACTCGACCTCAGCTGCTCACCAAATCGACGACGACGGCTACGGCGTCGTCTTCGTCGTCTCTAGCCTCTAATTCAATTGATTTTAAAAGGTAAACATACTAATTTTTAAGGTTTTATGAAATTCTGGTATTTTGTTGGTTTAGTGGATTATTAGGGTTTCTTAATTCTGTTGAAATTAATGCACTTTTTTCTTAATTTTGCAGGTTATTCTCAGCGGGTTTCGATTAATAGGCAAAAATACAGGTTATTCTCAAACTCTATGTGTTGGTTGCTTCAAGCTTTGGTTTTAAAGTTTAAACTTCCAAGGCTAGGAACTGATAATATGATATGAATGATAACTTTTAATGGAATTACAACAAATGTGATGATGTTAATTCCCAAAATGGAGTTTGGCAATGTGACTGTCAAACTGGTATTTTTTAAGTTACATTGAATATTTGTCTTTTCGGGAAACTGCAATGTGATTTGGGTTTTGGTTATATTTGTTTTGTTTTAGTTAACTGGTATTTTTTTTTTTTTGTTAAATGATATTTGTTTTGTTTTGGTTAAATGTTATTTGTTTTGTTTTGGTTAAGTGTGTATGTGAAGATTAGAATATGTTTTAAGTGTCTTGAATCTATATTTTTTTTTGTAGCTCCCTTAACCGATACAAGTGAATCTGATTTGATCAAGGTCTAAAATATCGGTGATATCGGAAATATCGGTCAGCCAAAAACACGGAAATTTTGATGGAAATATCGGGATCAGCTCCCTTAACCGATACAAGTGAATCTGTTTTGATCAAGGTCTAAAATATCGGTGATATCGGAAATATCGGTCAGCCAAAAACACGGAAATTTTGATGGAAATATCGGGATATTATCGATATCGATAAAAATTGAATAAAAACCACGGAAATTGTAAGAAAAACTTGGAAATTTTTATTGAAACTTTGCAGGATGTTTATTTAGTCAATTATCTATTAGTTTATCATAAAAAATTGGAAGGAAATGCATTGCATGATGGATTTAACTGATTTAAGTTGATTATATAGCGAGCTGGCAAACACTGTGAGTGTAGAAAATATGTAGTAATTAATGAAAAAAGATTAAACACACCATAATCATTTATATATAATGAATTACTACAAGATTTTACACTTTATACATTGCGTGGTCAAAAGGAATGGTCAAAATAATTCAAAACAATTTGTTTCTTGCAAAAAAAATTCAAAACAAAACCATGTATATATATAAATATTTTAGCACATTTTCACAAAAACATAAGTGATATGGTGGTTAAGGTGTTGAAGGAGTAAAATGGGCGGGGTTCGAATTCCCTTGTTGTCTTTTTTAATATAGAAATTTATCCTATATAATAAATATTAGCTTACAGACATTTTAAAGACGTTATAAATATTACACGCCGAAAATATAATCACAAACACGTACGCAGGTGAGTTGGATAAGGCGCTAGGCTGTTTCTCATAGAGGCAAGGGTTCGAATCCCTCCATGCGCAACAAGGAGAATTTTCAGCATTTTTCATGTATTTTTGGGTCAAAATATCGCGAGATTATTGATATTATCGATATTCTTTCATCTATTTTTTATTCCCTCTATGTGTATTTTTTATATTTATTAATCAAATTAGTTTGTACTGTGGAATTTAGCAGGTAAGTTCTGCCCATTCGGCTTTCAAATCTTGAATGCGCCATTTATGGACTACTTCTCATAACTTGTAAGTCAACAAATAGTTTCGAACTTGGCTCCTTTGTATAAAAGAAAAAGAACATATCGTAATGAGTAGTAGTGCTTCGTATATACCTCCCCCTTCCTTTTGACGTCTACTAAACCAAAAAAGTTTATTATTCAACGCCTGAAGAGAACCTATGAAGATGAGGTTTTAGTTGAGAGATCTTCCTCCGATTCCGAGAAATCGGTCAAGCGGGGGGCTACCCTCGGTTACACGCTCAAATGTCCTTATGTTTGAATATGCAAATTCAAAAGATGAATTTATTTGCAAAAATGATTTTTTAAAACAACATTTCGTAACTATAGTGTGTTACATACGTTTCGCGATTGAACATTGGCCTCATTGAACAAAAAAATCATGGCCTCTCATTGAACAAAAAAAATCATGTCATTATCGTATTAATACTTGTGAACTCAACACGATAAAATTCGGATGTAATTCCGATAAAATTCGGACGAGAATTACATTGTATATGATTTTTATCAGGTCTAGTAATTTTTGAGTGATGTAATATTTGGACCATGTGTTCACGAGTTGTGACAAGAAGTAGACTTCATTGTGATTCAAGAACGAGTACAGCTCATGTACTGTCACAGTACGGCCTGTTAGTGTAGGATTTGTTTGGATTAGATTCTATGAGCAGCTGGAAAATCTAGAGCTTTCCGCAAAAATGCTTTTAATTCTGACTCATTCTAATTACAGAGCCCGACATGTTTTTTTTTTTGTCAAAGTCCAACGCGTTCGTTTTGTTTTTGTAAAGCACCGACACACTCACAACTCAACAGTCAATTCACTCGCTCCTATTTTATTTATAGTAGCTGATGACCAGATAAAGAGAAGAAGAAAAAGGACTTTTGGAAAGTTTCAAGGCATGGATTAGATTTTGGACTTCGGAGATTACTGGTTTAGGTAAATTAGGTGTTTGGCGTGTGAGAAAATTGAAAGAGAAAACTTGTACATTGGTCAACTAGTCAGCATCTGAGCGTATGATACATATATGAAGCTATGATAAAATCTCACATGACTTTTCAAAATTATAATGATCGTTCTGTTACATTGACTAACATTTTGTGTAAAATGTCATGTTAAAATGGAGGCTTTCTAAAGTAGAGACGTCCATATTCTCCATGAAAGATGACACAAATGACGATTTCGATCGTTGAAATATATTATAGGCAACCCTAGAAATGATGAGTGCACTTGTCTTACAATAAGGACTTAACATAGAAAAACTTCATGTGTCCAACTATATATATATCAAGGTCAGGCTTTAAAAGAATCGGCCAGTATCATATTACATATCTACCACGTTCCTTACATAGGATAAGAATTTGATGCAAGAAAAACTAGTTACAGATGGATTCATAAAACATATGCTAGTTCCTTATGCCAATATTTACAAGCTGACAAGATACAAACTCTCTCTCTCTCTCTCTCTCTCTCTCTCTCTCACACATCCAAGATTCAGCAAATACTGGGGGAGTAGCTAGATGAAAGGAAAAATGATATACTCAGCATAGAAGAGATTCCAAATAAATCTGTAGTAGCCGGCAATTGCTTCCTGCAGAACGCATTCAAACTTATGATCAGATGATGAATCAAATACTCTCTGTCATTTTATTGGAATCTGAACAGATCATTCGAAATAGTTGTGCAAAATTATCCTATTCCAAACTGTACTGCTTGATCATTAGACCAGTAAAATGCTATTTACAAAAAAATGGAATTTTATACCTTGGTGTAATTTGCTTGCTCGAGCACCCAAGTCTGAAAGTACATGGGAACAAAACTTGCATAAGAGTTTAACAATAAGACACAATTTTTCATTAAGTGTTGTTTGTTTGTGTGTGCGAAAGAGCTCTAACATAAACCATTCACATCCAATTAAATGCGGATTAGAAAGCTCAAAGCAGCACAAGTTGCCATTGTCACTTTATTCTCCCAAGTCCTCACCACACGCACACACACAAAATATACCAGAAGTCCTAATATTGAAAAGAATCAGTATCATAAATGCCTAACTGAAAAAATCATTCAGTGAGAAGAAACTACAGAGAGGTGGGATGCCATTTTCGACAGTAAATTTGTGTGATATCATAAGCATAAATGAAATGATGCTAGGGTGATACTCTTGGAGCATTGAGAGAAAAGCGGGGGGGCATGTAACACATTCATAAAAACAAGGAACAAACAAAAAAAGAAAAAGAAAAAGAAGCCGTTTAGAATGGATATAGTGGTGAAGAGGTCAAAACAGCAAGGTACAAACCTGGAAAATTAAACTCAGTGCCAAAATTGTATGGGTCGGTATCATTAAGCTACGCCTGAACGCCTGTACACAAGCAACATAAAGGCTTTAATTTTTTGAGTCAAAGGACAACACGAAGAATTTCACAAACACAATAAATCAAAGCCATTAGCTTTTGTCTAAATGCATGAACCACGCAAGCATCTAGAGATACACTTCAAAGTTCAAAGGGATACATGCTCACCTGAGGCATGAAACTTGCTGCGAATATAGAACCAACATAGTTTAGCAGCAAAAGCCCAGAACCCAGGAACGCAATCTTTCTAACTCCAAGTTTTGTTGCAAATGTTGATATCTGAAACCTGTAAGCATATATTTGAAATAAACATTGGTGGGCAACTGGAATATTAAGCTTTAAACAAAAACAATGCTGCATTCTGATTTGAAAATGTTGAGAAAAGAGTACCAATATTGGTTAAGCATAATATAAGACATTGACAATTACAGTGAGTGACATCAAATATGCTAATTACATGGCCAAATGATACCCACTCTCTCTATGCAAGTATGGGGTAGAGGGTGCAGAAATTTAATGTACAGTATTCACGTGTAAATTAACCAAAACAAAAAGGAAAAAGGGAAACATTAAAATTAATAACCAAACTTTAGGATTGTTTTTAATGCTGATTCACGTGTAAATTAACCAAAACAAAAAGGAAAAAGGGAAACATTAAAATTAATAACCAAACTTTAGGATTGTTTTTAATGACTCAGAAAGTACTATATGGGGTAAGAATCAAATGAGAAATCAGCTGCCAGAAAGTAACTAGGCCCTGCAACTTACTTGCGGTCTCCCTCTACATCAGGAAGATCTTTTGTTATGGCAATAACCAAAGCAAATAATGTTACAAAGGTAGTGATAAAAGCCACGGGCGAGCTGCAGGTAGAATTTGAATTTCAGCATCAGTCTCTTTAAAAATTTAAATTATGAACATTACACAGCTAAAATATCAGAAGGATATAGTGACATTCACAAGAGAAAGTTGGACAATTAGATCAATCAATACAGATTTGTTTCAATAATAAAATTGAAAATTAGTAATGCTCATGTGTTGGATTTAGAAAAGGTCCCTTTTTGTTAACTTTCAAAATCCATATTGGTGTGTAAACTACAGCAGTTCCTTATCAATCCTGTATTAGTCCATCCAATTGTATAGTCATACCAGTTAAAATACAACAAATAGTAACACACCTCCACTCAAATTGAAGCCCAAGGGCAGCTCTAGTGGCATAATATACACCAAAATTAAGAAGGAAACCCCGTACCTGCAGTAGTTATTTTGTTAATCTCTTGTGACATAACTACTATTGGAGAAAAATAAGGCGAAATAATTTTTAAAATATATCTGTGAATCACCATAATAGTCATCGAACAGATCCTATCCTCTTAATAATATATTTACTTTCCAGGCTCCTTGCTCAAAAGTTGTTTGAATTCATGCACAGAAATTTTTAGACAACTATATTAGATCAGTAGAACTATACTATTGCAGCGATTCAACTATAAAGAGTGTTATGCTACAATAGCATTTGGTGCTTCAGCCATAATAATGTCTAACTGCTGTTTTGAGGGTAATATTCATATTTGGAAAATTTTGTTTTTTGTTTCACATTGCTTCTAAAATAAACTACTCGCTTTCCTGTGACTCACAGGTCTGCTTCCGCCAACACTTTTCTACTCTCTTTTTTTCATGGGTATAATTGTGAATGCTTAACTTTATTTCTCTATGACTTTCAGGCTTTTTTACCAGAACTTGCTTAGATTGTGATGATTATAAATGTATTAACTATTATCTACTTTACTTTTTATTCGGACATTTTAAGGTGGGCGCATGAATTTCAAATCCCATGTATAAAAAATATCAAGCAATTTGAGTAGTTACTGACTTTGGAATGGAGAAAAAAATATATCACCAAAAAATGAGCACATACTTCTATTGTGAGGATTAGATAACAGGAAAAAAAAAGTGATACCGTAGCAATTATAAGAAATGCTGCAACAGGAAATCTCTTCATTCTAAACGGAGGAACAGAATACATGGTACCAAGGAAAAGACCAAGACTGTATAGAGAAGTAATGAATGGCCCAAAGTTCATTCCAACAATCAACAGGCCAGTCACTACAAAAAATACCACCAGAAGCCATGCTGATTTAACTGAAAGGTCCCCTGCAGCAATAGGCAAATAAGGTTTGTTTACCCTGCAAACACAACAGAGAGATGCAGAATAAGTTCGAAGAAAATAATATGCAATAATGTCCATGGACAGTCTGTCACACAATGGAAACAAAGAAAAAACAGAAAAGATGATTTACCAAAGGTCAAGATCGTCTGGCTCTATATTTTTTCTTTTACCAATGACTAAGGAACAGGTTCTATCAAGATTCTCTAGATCAGATGATTGATATTCATCAACTATGTTAAGGCATCAATTACATTCAGACAAGGGCCAACTTGTGATGGATCTTAAACAACAAAAAATGTGTACAAACCCTATTGTGGTTGTTGGAAACCAATATTTTGTGTATAAAACTGTTGCGCAAATCCTTGTCTAATAGTATGCTTAAGAAACAGAAATACGTAAAAATATACGCCCATCGTACTTGTCAATTTTGATATCGTAAATCTGGTTGATGCCAACTATGTAACCATTCCCACATAGTAGAGCAAAAAGACCAGAGAATGCCTTAAACAGCAGAGACCACTTTATCAAATTGGCGTTCTCAATCAACGCTCTAGTCACCAAAGCACTGTGGACAAAACAACAAAGAAATTTGGTCAACTACACCTGGCCTGAGTTGGAAATGAAACCAGTTTACTAATACAAATCAGTGTTCTGTCTGGTAATTACTTACGTAGAACCCAGAACTGTTCCACGTATGGTATGGGGCCTCAGGAATCTCCAACAAGCATCTTTAAAATCTGAAATTCTGGTCAATACTGGATCAGATCCAGCAGCTTCAACTTGACTGCGGGCCTGGCAGCATTCACTTTCACTTTAATACCATAAAAAGAAAGGGCTTGAGTCTCATAGACTACAGTCTCCATATCTATATGCAACCATGTATAAGGAACCGAATCAAGTACTAACACATCTAAAATCAAAATCAAAATCAGCAACAAGGGACAGGGAGTATAGTCTATAAACAGACACCAAATTGCCTTTTTTTTTTCCTTTTCTATTGGTATGTTCCACAGTAAAGCAAATAGGTACAACTATATCAAGCTTCTAACTAGTTTTTTGCTGCTTTGACATGTTCAATAGTAGGATTGCCTACTATCAACCGCTTACCCTATATTAGTCCTTCAAACCTTGACATAATGTCATAATTGCAGCATCACTTCAGAATAATAATCAAGTAGAAACTTCCAGTTCCACAAGCTAACAATAACAGCTGAAGGAAAATATTACACAGACCAAAATTAACTAATTGGAGCAAAATCAAACATACCCAACTCGAAAAGGAAAAAAAAAAAGCAATCTTCTAAACCAAAGTTTCATAGTGGCATTTCCTAATAAATAGTACTTAGAGAAGAACCAATCTTCTAACCAAAGTTTCATAGTGGCATTTCCTAATAAATAGTACTTAGAGAAGAACCCAATTGGACAAACTAAAAGTTGAATGTAATTTATATCATTGAGGAAGAAATGCAGCATACCCAGATGGAATTTCGCCTCTTCTGACAGTTGGGTAAGGACTTTGAGCTTCTGTAGAGCCCAATTGAGTACAAGTTTTGTGTGCATTTTGAGAGAGAAGCAAAGGGGGGTTTGGAAGTTGGCTTAACGAAAGTAGAAGGAAAAGAAGAGGAGGTCTTGCAATAAGGGGTTAGAGCTGGAAACCGTGGAGAAGATGAGGGAGCGAATGAGAGCTCCATGCTACGCTTACAACACAGACACAGCGAGAAACAAGAGTCTGTGCCTCGGAGAAAGTAGAGAGGATAGCACTACGAAACTCAGACACACGAAAAAACGGAGGTAAAACGACATGTCGTAGATACTCCAAAAACAAAAGGGAAAAGTACGGACCAAAAAACAAAGAAGTTAAACGAAAAATGGAGATGCGGGGTATCGAACCCCGTACCTCTCGCATGCAAAGCGAGCGCTCTACCATGTGAGCTACATCCCCAAGTTGCTGATAAGTTTCATACTATTCAATTTATACAAAGTTTAAAGGAACTACAACTGTGCCAATTTGCTTACATTTTTTTTCTAATAAATGGCAGATTTGAAATTGTAAACTTTTTCCAACATTAGAACATAAGTACGCTACACTGCTAACTAGTTTGTTTTTTTATAGAGCAACATCAGTAATTAGTTGGTCACTCAAGAAAATGAGAGTTTTGATGTTTTCTATATTGCAAAGACGGTCCTCACCAACCATTTTGCTCAATAGTTCAAAATTGAAGCAGCATCCCTCTCATTTTGTAGTACCTTTTTAACATGAGAGGAACTAGGAAAATCATACCCTCCGTCCGACACCCTTCACATTACGACCCTTCAAAAGAGGGTGTGGCGGTAAGACAATTGTGCCATGGTAGCTTCCATACGAGGCAACAGCACTATTAACATGGTAGGCATTCCAAAAGAAAAAGGGTCGCTGCTTAGGGTCCATTTTATTACTTGTGGACAACTAAGGAAATCTTCAGGGTCACCTCAGAGGAAACCATAGAGGTAAAATCACTCTAAAAAACAAACGCATGAATGTCAAAGTAACATTAATCTAAATAAAATTCGAGTCAACCACAACATCCAACCACATAAAACTAGAGGATCATCAACATAAAAGGTCAGAGACATCTCTCATATTCAAAGGGTAAATCCAACAATCACTAAATAATGAGAAAACAAACAAACGCAGACAAAATTCTCCTTGTTGCCACCATAGTTTTCTGCAGCCCCTCAACGGTTGGCCTTGGCAACTCTTTCAATCTCATCCTTCTTCTTGATCGCATAACTGCACACAAAAGAAACAAAGAATCAAGGGAAGGAAATTAAATCAGACTACATAGCAAAAATGGAAATAAACTCGGAGATAAAAGAGCTTTGGCTGAGAATAATAAGTAATAAGAAAATAAGCGCTTAGAAAGCAGGCCATCAATCACTACCTGTTAGAGGAACCTTTGGCAGCATTAATAAGTTCATCAGCCAAACATTCTGCAATAGTTTTGATGTTTCTAAAAGCAGACTCACGAGCGCCAGTTGTGAGGAGATAGATAGCTTGATTCACACGTCTCAAAGGTGAGATATCCACAGCCTGACGCCTAACAACTCCAGCAGATCCAATACGAGTTGCATCTTCACGTGGACCACTGATCAGCACAAAGCAGACATACAAAAGAAAAGAAAAAATGTTTGATCAATTTAAGGAGATATAAAAAAATCAACATATAATCAGGAGAAATTATATTAAAGGCCACTTGGGCGTCCCCTCCAATATGAAAAAAGGACTAAGCACAAGGCAAGTATGCAATTACTATGATAAATATAATAACAAATCTGCATCCACTTACCTATTAACAACAGCATCAACAATAACTTGAATGGGGTTCTGATCAGTCAGCAAATGGATAATTTCCATAGCATGCCTGATAATCCTGACAGCCATGAGTTTCTTTCCATTGTTTCTGCCGTGCATCATGAGTGAGTTAGTAAGCCTCTCCACAATAGGGCACTGAGCCTTCCTGAATCGTTTGACTGAGTATCTCCCAGCAGTGTGAGGTACATAGGTTGCATGCTTGGCAGGTACCACTCCAACGTAGTCTGCCAATGAAATGTCACTGACCTATACATTGCAAATTACATATTACCATTAGTAGATGTGATGAACAAATTAATACAACAAACTAATCTATATGTTTGAAAATGTGAAACGATAATATTATCAAATTATTGATAATGAAAGATTTAGTCAGCATTTAAAAAAAATAAAAACAATTTGACACATAAATACCAATTAATCAATATAAATACTTAATAGCCAGGAAAATATTTGACCCACATATGAATTTAACTGAAGCAGACATAAACTTCATTTTATCGATCCGCATATTCAGGAAGGGCACCAAATACATGTGACCAAAACAAGTGCAATAAACAATAATAATAACAATAAACTTTAGCCTACTAAGTTACACCTACAGTGAATCTGAAACACAAGACGTCCACACAAAGAGGCCACAGAGATGTTTAAATTACAAAAGCAAGTCCCAATTACACATCTTGAGGTTGAGCAACAAATACATTATGATACTTACAACCCAACAAGGAAATGCAAGGACGCCTATCTTTGGCTCCTAACCAACCAGCTAAACGTATGTTTACCAAACTCAACCTTAGTTCGTCTAATTCATAACAGATATCGAAAGTAGAATTAAATCAAGTAAAAGCAAAACAAACTCCAGATACCTGAACATCATCAAAGCTCCAGCGGTTGAACAGCTTCACGTCAAAGTGAGGCTCCGTTGGTTCCACAACATGAGCAGCTACGACAGGAGCAGCTGCAACAGGAGCATCTACGGCAGGAGCAGCCATGGTTCTGTATAAACACAATTAGAGCAACAAAACCTGTTAAAATTTGTTAACAATGTGGGGACTAGAATCAAAGCTGCAAATTAATTTTTCAATTATGAGAATTCCATATCAAAGTGAATAGAGTAATGTATAATTAAAAAATGAGATTAGGGAAAACATTGAATCAAGCTTCTTCTTTTTTAAAATAAAAATTAACATTAAAAAAAAAAAGGAAGAAGCAAAAGTGAAACCTCAAAATTTTGTGATTCTTAGTTTCATAGCTCAATTCACAAACCCAACAAAAAATTTCAAGCCGAATTCTTGTTTCTTTTAATACTTTTAGCTTTATCTATGTGCAGCAAAATCAGTATGCAAGAAGCATAAAAAAAAATAATAATAAGCCATCAATAACAAAATACAAATAACTGTATGGCTCTCTTACATTCAAAACAATAAACCCACCCCAAAACCCTAGCACAATCTTATCTACCCGAGGAAGTAGCAGAGATGGGTGAGAGAGGTAACCACTGACCTGGAGGTTGGAGTTTCAGAAGCTTGGAGAAGAAGGAGAAAATGGCGCCTGGAGTGGGTTCTGAAACGCTCAAGACAAGAGAACGGCGCAGGGCAGGGGGTGAAAGAGAGGAAAAAGTCTTTAATCAGCTAGGGTTTGGGTTTTAGGTTACGTTTACTATTTTACCCTTCCTCATTTTGTTTTTGTTTTTGTTTTGTTAAAAAATCATATCCTCTGTTTTTTGCTTTTCTTTCATTTTTTCAAATATGATCATAGAAGCTGCGCGGCTATACTTTATTTGACACGTGAGTCCCTTTTTTTTTGGCACTAAATCGTTTAGCCATGCGGCTATACTATCTGGTATTTTTCAAAATCGTTGAGCCGAGCGGCTATACTCTGGTTTTTTTATTTTAAAAAATCGTTTAGCCGCCCGGCTTTACTAAAAATAGTATAGCCGGGCGGCGATACTTGTGTTGACACGTGGGCGCCTAATCGCTAGGCACGTTCCTCTTTTTTTTCTATAAATAGTACCGTTGTGCGGCTATACTCGGCTTTTTTATATTTATTTTATAAAAAAAATAGTATAGCCGACCGGCGTTACTACAGTTTTTGTTTTTTAATCGTATAGCTGGGCGGCTATACTCTGTTTTTTTAATAAAATGACATAGAGGTTGTTGGGTTTCCCAATTTTTTATTTATATTTTGTTATTTTATTTATAAACCGAACTTATTAATTTTTTTAACGGTAGTTTGACTGAGTATAGCCGTGCGGCTATAATCTGGTTTTTATTTAACCGCAAGGCTATACGTGCTTTCTAGGCGGGTCCTTTTCCTAACAAATGATATAGCCGGGTGAATATACCGTTTTTGACATGTGGGCCCTTTTTTTAACTAAATAGTATCACCGTGCATCTTGACTCTGGTAATTTTTTAAAAAAAAAATAGTATCACCGCCCGGCTATACTTGTTTTGCCACGTGGACAACTAATCACTCGGCGGGTCCATCTTTTTTTCTATAAATAATATAGCCGTGTGGCTATACAGTATTTTTAAAAAACCAAAAATGGTATAGCCGCCAAGCTGTACTCGGGTCTTTTTATTTTTATTTTTAAAATAGTATAGCCGCTATGCGATACTCTGGTTTTTTTATAAGAAAAATAGTATAGCCGGGCGGCCTTCCATCTTTTTTTCTATAAATAATATAGCCGGGCGGCTATACTGGTTTTTTTAACCAAAAAAAGTGTAGCCGACAGGCTGTACTCGGGTCTTTTTATTTTTTTTTTTTAAATAGTATAGCCGCTAGGCGATACCCTGATTTGTTTAAGAAAAATAGTATAGCCGTGCGGCCTTACTACAGTTTTTTTATATATAAAAAGTAGTATAGCCGCGCGGCGTTATTATAGTTTATATATAAAAAGTAGTCTAGTCCCTTTTTTTCTTTCTATAAATAGTATTTTGCAGAAAAAAAACACATTCTTATTTTATTCATATTTTTTTCGTTCCGTATTTTACTAACTATGAAAGAATGTGAGTGGCAAAGATTAGTTTTCACTTGTTGTAACAAAAATGGAAGATGGTAATTTTGCAATCCCTTTGCCATGCAGAACAACAATTTCAAACAAATATTTATGGGTATAGTAGGAAGAGAGGATGTAGTATTCTTCATGTAAGGTGTTGTTTGAAAAGTGAAGCAATTACCAAGAACACTCCAACTAAGCATGCAATTCCATACGACAAATAATGTGTGCAGTAACATAATTTAGTTCTGTTGGTTTTGCAAGGCATTGCAAATATGTTTGAGTTCCCACATTGGAACACTAGCCTTGGAGGTCTTTATAAGACTTACTCTTGGAAATAAAATAGTTTGTATTGGCTATGCAAGTGGCACAATTGAGTGAATTTGTGGGTATGGCATGTGATTAAATGCCTAATTAGTTAGGTCAATTTCTAATTATTTAATTCTGTATTTAAATTAAACCCGATTAGGTAATCAACTAATTATTTATTTTAATTATTTATAAAATTCAAATATCATATAATGTTTTTGTTTGATTGAGTTTGTCCTTATCCGATACCTGTTAGGATATGTATCAGCCACTCTATTTAAACACAAGCCCTGCATCTATACAATTACATCAACTTCACAGAGAACATTCATATCATCATTCTTGTATAGCCTCAAAGATAAACACACAAATTTCGCCAAAAATCAAAGCCCTAGTGCTAGGACTTTGATTTAAATAGTTGTATCCTGCTATAGCAAACACCTGCAGAACTACAAGCATTGAGTAGGGGTGAAATTCTATTTCAAGGACATTGCAATTATGCAAGCCTCTCTTTCTGCAAGAACGGTCAGTTTTTAATCTACTGCCATATTTAATTTCATAATTCTATTTGTTGTTTAATTAAATTATTAGAATAACATTGATTGTTGTTCCTCCAACAAGTTTCACTCGAGAGAACGAGTTAGATCAAAGGCAAACATTTCCACACAAAAATAAGAAGAAAAAATTGAAATCTCATATTGATTTATTGTGAAATTTATCTCTCTTCAATATCCGCTTTGGATATGTTGAAACTAACCAATTAATATCAATAAAGTATAAACTAATGCAACTAGGTTTAGATCGGTTGGTTTCATCAATTTGGTTTAGATCAAAATCAAATCATTTGACTTTTTCTTAATATTAATATCACTTGCCATTCTATTTTAAACCGTTTGACTTTTTTTTAATCAAAATCAAACCAAACCGATAATTACGGTTTAGATCGGTCAGTTTCATCAATTCGGCCGATTGATACCCACCCCCTTGAACCCCTTTGAAGGCCATGGCAAGTGTCACGTTGACAGAAGCTTTTTCTTTCTCGAATATTCCGAGATGGATTTGGTCAATATGTTGCTCAATTGTTCCTCTTTTTTGTTGTTGCCAAAGTTAGGAAGGGAGAATGGGGAAAACTCAATTAACACCCATTGGCCAGTTCACTTGAGATGATATGGGTTTCCTTAACTGTGAATATGATCGTGATACATGAGAGTTTCACATTGTGCAAGGAAAATTTTGTGCACTTTCAGAAGGTCAAATGTCAATTAGAGGAGAGCAAAAGGAACAACACGAATTTTAGAAATATTTGTAGCTCCGGTTCTTCCATTCATATTTTTTCCAATTCTAGATATTGTCTTGGTCACATCCTAGAAATTAAACAAAAAATATGAGAAAAACATACATCGGCCATTTTTCATGAAACAAAACAGAACTAGCTAAAAATCTTGAAAAATAGGAACTCGCACAGTAAGATCATTTGGATCTTCCTTTGAACAGCAAATGACAAGATGCTCGTAGGTTTCAGCAGCCCCTCAACGGTTGGCCTTGGCAACTCTTTCAATCTCATCCTTCTTCTTTATAGCGTAACTGAGCACAAACAGACCAACCAATAGTCAGAAAAGTATCAAGTTGAAGAAAACGAAATCAGACTAAACTAAACATAACAAAACAGAAATAAACAATGAGATAGATGAGCTTTTGGAGAAAATCACAATTATACGAAAATAATTAATCAGTACCTGTTAGATGAACCTTTTGCAGCATTAATCAGTTCGTCGGCCAAACATTCTGCAATAGTTTTGATGTTTCTAAAAGCAGATTCACGAGCACCAGTTGTAAGGAGATAGATAGCCTGATTCACGCGTCTCAAAGGTGAAATATCCACAGCCTGACGCCTAACAACTCCAGCAGATCCAATACGAGTTGCATCTTCTCGTGGACCACTGATGGTCACAAAGAAGACATACAATTAGAATCTGTATTTCCATAAGGGTCACCATCCATTGTGGTTATGGTACCCAGAAGACTTCCAAAATCAGAAAGTAATCATGATCAATTTTATTAAAAGACCACTTGAGGTTCCCCTCCAAGATCAATACCTTCTACAGACCTTAAGCACAAGGCAAGTATGCAATTACTATGAGGAATATAATAACAAATTTAAATCCACTTACCTATTAACAACAGCGTCAACAATAATTTGAATGGGATTCTGATCAGTCAGCAAATGGATAATTTCCATTGCATGCCTAATGATCCTTACAGCCATAAGTTTCTTCCCATTGTTCCTGCCGTGCATCATGAGTGAGTTTGTAAGCCTCTCCACTATAGGGCACTGGGCTTTCCTGAATCGTTTGACTGAGTACCTCCCGGCAGTGTGAGGTACATAAGTTGCATGCTTGGCTGGGACAACTCCAACGTAGTCCGCCAGTGAAATGTCACTGACCTATATGTTACAAATAAAATGATTATCATTTTAAAAATATAAGGGAAATAGATTTGAGTATTTGTCTAACACATATGAAAATTATCTAAACGTCCATAAAACTTTACCAAAATAAATTATTTTAAAAAAACACGAAAAAACTTAAATCAGTGTAGATATGAAGCCAAGGGCACCAAACAAATTATTTTAAAAAAAACACGAAAAAACTTAAAATCAGTGTAGATATGAAGCAAAGGGCACCAAACAATAAGAAAAAAAATGTTAGCATTAGCCTACTAAGTTACACCTACTGTGAATCAAATCAACACAAGGACACACAGGATGCACTTATTACAAATCTAAAACCTAACAAAAGCCAGTCCCAATTACCGACATTTAGCAACATATACGCTATGTTTTCTTCCGACTACCCAACAGGGGAAACATGCATCTAGACACAGTATTTAAGAGCTCAAATTACAGCTACATTAAAACAAATGAATCACTAAAACATACAGCGAAGAATTAGATTCGAGCTAAATTACTTTTATCAAAATCAACCCCAGCTCATCTGATTCATTACATCTAATGAGAAAAAACTAAAACTAAATCAATTAAAGAATAGAACCCAGAAATTAAAGCACAGGGAAAGAAATTTATGGGATCTTTTTTCAAAATAAATTTTATCTACTTCCAGCTAACTTAATCGATATTGAACAAATAGCAAATCTATAATCAATGTATACATTTAAAACCCCATAAAATTCCATTCATGATATTGAAATGCACAAAATTGGAAGTAATGGTTACAAACCTGAACATCGTCGAAGCTCCAGCGGTTGAACAGCTTCACGTCAAGGTGAGGTTCAATTGGTACCGTTGGTGCCGTTGGTGCCGTTTGTGGCGTTGGTGCCGTTGGTTCCACTGCAACAGACATGGCTCTGCATAACGCAATCGAAGATCTAAGGTTAAGAGTGTTAAATTGAAAAACAGGTAGGTTGTGATTTTTAATTTCTTAGTTCAATTAATAATTCAAGTATAAAATGTAAAAGGAATTTCATTGTAAGTAACAACGACGGATGATAAAGCTTACCTCTTTATCGGAGGTTGGACCTTCAGACGAGAATGCGAGAGAGCTTGTACAGAGTGGTGCTGAACACAGAAAAAACCTAGTTTGTGTTTATAAGCAGGACTGACCTGAAAATTACCTTAAGATCCTTTAAGGGTAGTAGGGTCTTTTCGTTTTTATTTTATTTTATTTTATTTTTAAGATTACAATGTTTGAGATTCATCAAAACTTCATATCAATCTCTCTCTCTGGTTTTTATTGTTTGGAATAAGAGGGATTATCGCATGAGTTATACTTAAGTTCCTAAAGTCTGAGTTTCATGTAAAAAGATCAAAATCAAAGCTCTATATATGTTTTTCACAAAACAATGTTTCATTCAATAAAATATATGAGTCCAATATGCAATTTTGTTAGTTGATAGCATGTTATAGGAACTTATATGATATAATATAGTGGCATGTGTAACACAAAGTTCATATGTTATGGAGAGTATAACATAGATAAATAAATACGTGTATTACAATATAAGTGGATTAGTCAAGCCATCATGTCGTGTTACACCTAGCTAGTAGTTCGCTACATTTTTCACAAGTTGATGTTGGTGGGTTTCTCATGCTTCTTTACAAATAAAAATAAAAATCTATTATGACTTATTTTTGCTTTACTTGTTGGCTATATGCACAAGGCTCTTCGGTGGCCATACTTACTACAGTAGATGAAAATAATCATCGCTTGTATGCTGCTGAAGATATCATCCCTTTTTATCTCGAACGCTGCCCTAAAATTAATTGTACAACAATGTGGTCTATCTGTCAACAATTAAGTTTAAGAATGTTTATGTTTGTAGTGATCGCATAAATCTTCTTACACTGATAGAAGTTTCTAGAATTGCTTTTGTACGAGTTTTATAAAATTTCGGCCTCTTTGTTCATATATATAATTGCTTTTCACTTGCTTATGAGTCATGACTTCCACCATATGCTAGAACCATATGATGTTTTTCCTCTTTCAAAAAATATTAAAGCCTAAAGACATCATGATTTTCACTCCTTGCATCCAGCAGATAAAGTCGGGACTTTAGGAGAATCTACATGATTTCGCAATGATTTATTAAAATTTCAACTTTGAAATAGCAGCAAACTATTGAGACAACAACAGTCTTCGTCGCCCGATCAGATTTGTTACTCAATACCCAAGAGCTCAGGGAAGAAGGAAATCAAAGATTTGACACAGAAACCAGGAATACTTGTTACTCGTTCAAACAAAACCTAGGGCTTTTTTCCGACATAGAAGTTTAGCAAGATTCCATAAAGAACTCTCATCAGAACAATCAAGTCTACGTTGCTAGTAAATACCAAGACACATAAACTAAAAAAAATAAGAACAGAGATTGGCAACACAACTGCCATTCACCATCATAAACACCAGTTGCTTGCAAGTAACCAAAACTTTGAAGTTCAAGCATCAACAAACAAGAGCCATCTCCGATCAACGCAACCTTCTAGCCTCCCTCTCAGACTCGAGCAAGGTAAGGATATCCCCCTCCCTCACTGGTCCCTTGACATTCCTCATGATGAACCGGTTCTGGTCATCGAGAAACTTGACTCTAACTTGAGTCACCTGCCCACGAGATCCAGTCCGACCCATAACTTTCACCACCACAGCATGCTTCACAGTGGAGTCCATTCTACACGCAAATACAAAAGGAAAATTAGCAAGAGAACACTCTTGTAGCACTCTGCCGCCGCGAGGGTGGTAAAATGGAAAGCAACAAAGTCAAGAGGCCAGACTATTCAATTAATCATTACCATTGGAAATAGAACACAAGTTTTATAAACTACAAAATCAGAGCAAAGAAATAACTAGAGTATCATAATTTCATCTTATTTTCCGACAACTGAATCCTCGAAAAATATCAAAATTATACAGCAGCACCAAAAATTGTCCTACAAAACACACTTCAATTCCATACCACACTAGTAAATCAAACCGAAACACCACCAAACAAAAGCCAACTACAAGGTAATTACAATTTTCAATGTACATGAACACAAACAGAACATAAGTAATAACTTCTTTTTTCCCCATAAATCTCCACTTTGATTGATGCCATAAGGAAAGCTGCAATCAACCAGATCTAATTCCCTAAACAAATAATGAGCATAAATCTTGATTTATACAGTCATGAAAGTTTGATATAATTCCCTAATTCCATGAACACTTTTCTCATCTTATTTTTAAGATCTAAAAGCAACATAATAACAGGCATACAGTAATCTGAATTTATGAGTTTTGGGTTGAGTAACTAATCCAGCCAAAAACGCAAACAGGATTGAAAGTTTCAGAGAATAAATCGCTCAATAAAAGTAAAGAAGAATGCAAACAAAGATTGGAAATAACAATTTTGAAGATTAAGTATTTACAGAAGAGTGAGAAATTCACCTTCGGTACAGAGAGAGTCTTCAATGGAAAAGTGACGAGAAGGAGCGTTCGCGGCTGCGTCAAGGGGAGAAAAAAAATGCGTGCTTCTGCGTTCAGGGCACTAGGGTTCTCAAAGGTTTTTCTTTTATAGTGAATTTGTTTTTTCTTTAAAAATGTAATATTTTATTTATTTATGTATTGCTTATTGAAAGCCCAAATACGACGTCGTTTATCATTTCCACTGCATCATCCAGTATTAAACCCATCTCTCTCTCTCTCTCTCAATGAAGCATTCTCGCTTCAGTTCGCTGTTCAATTTGCATTCTCGTTTCGGTTTCCGAAACGTGTCTCTCTCTCTCTCAATGAAGCATTCTCGCTTCAGTTCGCTGTTCAATTTGCATTCTCGTTTCGGTTTCCGAAACGTGTCTCTCTCTCTCTCAATGAAGCATTCTCGCTTCAGCTCGCTGTTCAATTTGCATTCTCGTTTCGGTTTCCGAAACGTACCGGGCGTTTCTCTGTACTCGACGGCTACAGATCCCACATATCATCATAGAAAGTACTGGAATGGTGCCCTGAACGACCTCTACCGTCGGATTTCTCGAGTCGGAGATCGCAATACATCCATTTTGCCGATTCTCGACGAATGGATCGAAGAAGGCGGAAACGCAGAGAAAGATGACCTCGTCACCATAATCAAGGAGCTCAGAGAATTCAAGAAATATAAGCACGCTCTTGAGGTAGGTACTAATTTCTGTTTGGTTGCTCAGAAAGTGTGGAAATGGAATTAATTTAGGGTCTTTATTTGGTTTTTTTATCTTTAATTTATCAAATATTATGTTCAACTCGGTAAAATTGAATTGTGAATGGATTGAAATTCAAACTATGCTATAGAGTAGCTTAATTCTGTTAGCTTAACTGCTAAATGGGAGTGCTTTCATTGTAATTTGGAGGATTTAGACTGCTAATGGTGAGAGCAATGCTATATAGACTTCAAAATAACTCAGCCCAAGTAGCAAAGTTTTCATCTTTTTCATCTTCTTCATATTTGGATTTCTGAAGAGAGATTGTATGGTATGTTGGCAACCCCAGATTCTGAAATTTTTTTTTGGTTTATTGATTCTCAGATATCTATGTGGATGACTGACAAAAGGTACTTCAGCCTTATGAAGGCTGATGTTGCCATCCGGCTGGACTTGATTTCAAAAGTTCATGGAATTGAACAAGCTGAGAATTATTTTGAAAACATTCCAAAACAATTGAAAGCTCGCGAGGTTTACTGTACTCTCCTCAACTGCTATGCCCATGTAAAACTTGTGGAAAAAGCCGAGGCCACCGTGGAGAAGATGAGGGATCTGGGGTTCGCCAGGACATCTTTGGCTTATAACGTTTTGCTCAGTTTGTATTATAAGACTGGAAACACTGATAAATTTGACGTTCTGCTGAATGTAATGGAAGAGAGTGGCATCGGTTGTGACAGATTCACATATGGGATCCGTCTCAGTGCATATACTGCTGCTTCTGATCATGAGGGAATTGACAAGGTTCTGGCAGAATGGGAATCCAATCCTGGGTTCCAGTTGAATTGGACTAGTTATTCCGTTGCGGCAAATGGTTATGTGAAAGTAGGAAATGTGGAAAAGGCTTTGGAAATGCTAGAGAAGTCTGAAAAACTGATATCAAGCTCTGAAAGACAGAGGGAAGCATATGAGTACCTTATGACTCAATATGCAGTACTAGGGAAGAAAGATGATGTTGTGAGACTCTGGGAACTTTACAGCAAGCACATGAAAATATACAATAAGGGTTATATAGCCATAATAACCTCATTCTTGAAGCTTAGTGATGTTGAAAGTGCTGAGAAGATCTACGAAGAATGGGAATCCAGGAACTTAACTTTTGATATTCGTATACCGAATTTCTTAATTTGTGCTTATGCCAGAAGAGGCCTTTTTGACAAGGCCGAAGCCTTTCTTAACAGGGTAATACTTAAGGGTGGGAAACCGGGTACAGGGTCATGGTTTACTTTGGCAGGAGAGTATCTTGATCATAATCAAACTGAGAAGGCAGTTGAGTTGATGAGGAGAGCGCTTTCGAATGAGGGGCCTCAGTGGACATCTAACAAGAGTGCTTTGGCTGTCTGTTTGCGACTCATGAGGAAAAGAGCAGATCTGGAGGGAGCCAAGGAGTTTATAAGACAGCTCGGGGATAAGTGTGTTATACCCGTAAGTGTTCAGGAGATATTGTTGGATTATATTAATAAAAAGATGATTCAGTCTGTAGAACTAGGTGAAGTGGAATGGGATGATCTGAATGGAGATAAAGAAACAAGTGGACCTTTAGAAGCCGAGGGGACTAGTAGTAGTTAGGATTAGAGACTCCTGAAAATTTAGGTAAAGGCAAGTCAACTGCAGGGACTTGTAAAGATGTGCCTGAGGATGAAGCTGACGTGTATTCAAGATATCATTTTTCTGTCAATGAAGATGTTGCTTTTGTTTCTCTAATCTGATCATGAAGTTTGCTGCATATATAGAGGACTTGAATGAATTTTATTTTGTATTTTTCCTCCCTGAGAATTTATTTTTCCTATTCATGAAGATGCAGAAATTCCCTGAACAATTTTCTGGTACTATTGGCATGCTTGTGTCTACTAAAAACCACTCTTGAACTGCAACTTTGAGGTTCCTGAAGATTTCTGTGTATAAATAAGCTGTCATCTTCATACCCAACAAAGGGAAATTAGTTATTGCTTTTGATAAATATTAATAATGAGCAGAAAAAAAACACAAACCCAACTCATTTAAAATTGATCAACAATTCTAGCAATTGAGATGTAGTGAAGTAGCGAGTGGGGAAATAGCTCAGTTGATTGAGCTTTTGGCCTCAGACTCTGTGGACAGAGACTCGAATCTCCCTATCGCTTGTACTAAAAAAAATTGCATCGAAGTAATTAAAGCTCCTACTAAAAATAACAGTGTTTAGTGGAGGGTAATATTGGTAATTTGCGTTTTTTATTTATCTGATTCTGGATTTTATTAAGTGACAAAATAAACCAACCTCCTTTCGAAAACCCTGCCAAAATGGAACAAAACCTCTCGGCCCAAACCCTCCCCAACTCACTCTCCAACCACCAAGATGACGTCGTGCCCGCCGCCGCCGACGACGACCCACCGTCCCTAAGCCTTCAAGCCCTAGAAGCTCTCAAGGAGTTCCTAGCGGAGCAAAGCCAGCCCTTACCTGACACCGCCGCCGAGAGCCGAGCAGCAGACTCGGTAGCTCCAGCTCTCATCTCCGAAGACTGGAGACTGAGCCAGTTCTGGTACGACCCCCACACGGCCGAAACCCTAGCCCAAGAGGTCCTCATTCTCTGCAACTCACTCCCCGACTCGGCCGCTAGGGTTGCTTGCGTCGCTTGCCCCTCACTCTACGCCTACCTCAAGGTCCCTTTCATCTTTTCGCTCTCTGGGTTTTAATTTAATGTTTGTTTGTTTTTAAATTTATGTTTTTACTGATTTTTATTTATTTATTTATATTTTCAGAACAATGATTCTGACGTGCCTGTGCAACTGCTTGAGTATGACAAGCGGTTTGAGCAGTACGGGAGTGATTTCACGTTTTATGATTACAACCGACCTGAAGACTTGCCATTGGAGCTCAAGCATGCTTTTGACATTGTGGTTGCTGATCCCCCTTACCTGGTGAGCAAAATTATGCTTCTTTATGTCATTTGGTTTAGTGTTATAACTTATGGGTATGTGTGTTATGTGGCAAAATAATTTGAATCTGAGTCTTCATGCACTCTGTATGAATTAAGATCTAGCGTCGAAATACATTTTCGTGACTGTGTTTGTACCATGCTTGGTGACTGCATTGCTTTTTCTACATCTCTCGTATAGAGGTCGAATCTGTATTCATAGCTAGGACTGTGAAGTTGTGGTTATGAACAAATTGCTGATATAGTATAACTGGTGTTTACAGAGTCGGGAGTGCTTGGAGAAAGTCGCTCAAACTGTTTCATTTCTTGCACGATCAGAAAAATCTTACCTGCTTCTACTCACAGGTAGACATTTACCTCCTATATAATTGGCAAAACATAATAAGAATATTGCCATTCGTGCACAGGACACTGTAATTACTGCGCTACAATACAGGATTAAAACATTTCACCAATGAGATTTTTGTTTTTGAAATCAGAAATTGAACAAGTGTTATTGCTAGCACCTTTCAGTTTGTTGCAACTAACTGTTATATGATGACTTGCAGGAGCGG